GAGCGTGACGATTGTAAGTGCATTGCGCCATCTCCGGACGACTCCCCCCATGTTTGCTCGACCAACGGGCTTCTTGATAAGCAGCGCCGTCCTCGTCAGAAGACAATCGCTTCTTTTCGTCGCATCTTCACCCTATGTTTCTTTCCTCCTGACCTGCACTCTCGTCTTTCGTCATGAAACCAGCCGTCGCGCGGAACCACCGGGAGGGCTGCATTTGCTAACAGACACCCAGTTTCTAGCATAGTCGAGCCTGCCATTGATGCGTCTGGCTTGAATCCTTTCAAGTTGTCGCTTGACACCTCTTCGAATTTTCGCACCCCGTCCTTCCCGAGCGTCGTTTTCTCGCAACAATGCCCTATACACCGCCATCCAGCCGATCCCCGGCCACGTCGGCCCCCTCCTCCCCCGACATCAGCCGGCGGCCATCCTTTCACCACTCGCCGACCAGCAGCTCTCGACCCGTCCTCCCCCGATCCGCCTCATACATGACGAAGCACCGCCGGACGCCCTCGGCTCCAACAGTGCCCCGACACCACGGCGAACCGTCGCCAGAGTCAACATCGGAGGATCTGCACGGCATGATTGCTAACACCAGCGTCCGCCAGTCCCCTCCCCCGGTGACGGGCGACCGCAGGATGCCCAATGGTGCCATCATCTCCCCGCCCGATTCATCGAGCGACGACGACGAGCTGCCGGAGGTGCGCCTGCAGAGCCGAGGCCGGCCAGTGGAGCCGACGCTGCTTCATCACGCCATGATCCAGATCCCTCAACACCGATCCAGTTCGCCCACCACAAGTGGGGCAAAGGAAAGGCAATCGTCGTTGACGGTGGATGTGCTCGCACCCCCATCACAGACGAACGGGGAAGGTATGCGCCACAGCCTGAGCGATGGCTCCCTGGTCGACCTCGTCGCTGGGGGCAACCGAAAAGTCTCCCACACGAGATCGGCGACCGAGCCCAAGATTCTCGTTCCACAGTCTTCTGAGGTGTCCCTAACTGGATCGTCAGTAACGGCGTCAGATGAGGAAACTGACGACGATATGATGCGGAAGCCCCAGATGGTGCGCAAGAAGTCTGGCGAGCTCGTCCGCCCAGCCTTGCGGGGATCCTCTCGGAGGCGACCCTCCAGCGTGCCTGGCACTCCCACCTTTTCCAAAGCGGTTCATTTCGATTCTCACCTCGAGCATGTCCGCCACTTCCTCCAAGTCGACCGCCCGCTCGCTGTGAGCGCAGGCACGTCCCCGGCCGAGACCTACGAGAGCGACACCGAGTACCCCTTCTCGGGCGACGATCGATCAACGGCCCGCTCTCCTCCTTTCGAGTGGGAGATTGTCATGAACAATTTCCCCGTCGACACGCCTTATCGCAGGGCCCAAGTCGTCCGACTGGAGAGAGTGTGGCTGTCGACTGATCAACAGTCGCTGATTGGGTCGGTGGCCGTGGCCAACCTGGCGTTCCAGAAGAGTGTCACCTGCCGCTTCACACTCGATTACTGGAAGACAACGTCCGAGGTGGCTGCGGAATACGTCTGCGAGATCCTCCCTGCCGAGACACCTGTCAGCCACGATCGCTTCAACTTCAACATCAAGCTGTCGGACCTCGCCAACCTCGAGTCCAAGACGCTGTACTTTTGCATTCGGTACAACGTCAACGGACAAGAGCATTGGGACAACAACAATGGCATGAACTTTCAAGCTGACTTCCGCAAGAAGAACCTCCCTCAGAATGGCAAGCGACCCATCGGCGCTGCCTCGCGTCCGGTTAATGGCCTTCCCAAGAGCAACCGCCGATCGAACCCGTCTGCCGCGCCCCGACCCAAGTCTATGCCTGCTGGATCCAACGAGTTCGGCGCTATTGCCAAGCTTACCTTGGACCAGTCCATCGAGGACTACCTGGGCGATTCTGACAAGGGGAGCGCTCGGCTCAAGGGCGTCAAGTCGTCCGGTAGCCTGCCCACCGACGATCTGTCTACCCGCCTCGCCGCGCCCAGTGGCAAAGCCTTCAAAGGCCGGTACGACTTTGGCGCGTCCCTCACGGCTGCCCTCCAGACGGCCAAGGACCAGGATGACTTGTACATGAAGCCCCACAAGCGAACTGTCAGTCCCCATGTCCCAGTTACCAAGAGCCCCAACAGCAGCCCCGTGGCCGGCGTTTCGAGCATCCCCAAGACCATGGCGTCTGCTGGCCAAGCACCCGCCTCGGCTTCGGGCGCGCCCACGATCGCGACTGCATCATATGATGAGATCATCAACAAGTTCTGCTTTGTACGTATCTCTCGGTGAAAGCTCCCCGGCTCTTCCACCTTCCGGACTGGACGAGAGGCAAGCTCTCGCCACCAACCAAGCGTGCAATCCAACTAACAATCTTCGCAGTACGGTACCAAGTCTGGAACTCGACTGGATGGCGCTGATGGCAGTATCAAGAGCCCCACCGGCAGCCAGAACTCTAGCTACGAAGGCAGCCCGGTTCAGATGGTCAACTACCACCACACCCACAGCGGCACTCAACACCACTCGTTGCACAACGGATCTCCGGCGTCCTACTTTCAGTACCCCAACGTCTTCGTGCCGGTTGGAGCCTCGCCTTCCGACTCGCCCATGGCCTGCTTTTCTCCCCAGCAACTTGCCAGTCCGCTGACGGGCCCGTCGTGGGCGCCGCCACCGCCCTTGCAGGGAGCTGGACGCTCGTCGCCGGTCTCATCGGTTAATGCCATGGCTCAGTTGAACGGCACATCGTCCATCCCGTACCGGCATCAGCAGTCGCCTGAGCGCTTCCCTTTTGCCGGCGGCGAAGGTCATTCGGCGACGGCCATTAGGGGTTGATCCGTCTTCATGGCGTCTGCCCTCTTGGCACTGGTTGGCTCGATGGGCTCAGTGGATGGTCACAGCCACGACATTTTCGCTCTCTCTCGCCGCCTTGTACATCCTCTCATCGCGACTTCCTCCGCGGTCTCACTTCTCTTTCTAATTTTGCTGTTTTGGCATTGGACGGTTCGGCGTTCCGGTAATACGGGTTCCATTTCCACTTTTACGATAACGACTGGTACGATACGCCTTTTGCGAACGGCAACGCACGATGCCGGAAATCCGCGTTTTGCGTTTCGTTCACCGCCTCTCCCCCTCTTCAGCACATCAGGACGGGCGGAAAAAGGCGCATCATTTTCTTCTCTCTATATGGGTCTCTACCCTTCATCTCTCGGTGGCCGGCATGGTCACCGAGGTCACAGCATCTACCAGCCTTGTTTTGGTGTGCATCGCTTGCCTAGCGGGTTCAGCGCGTGTGAATGAAGTTTGACGGGCGGTATGGGTGCCGCAGGTGGAAGGGGGCCTCAACGATTCCCAGTTGATGCAGTTCCTGGGCTGTTTGGCGGTGGTGGTTTCGGTGGCAATGGTTCAGAATGGGTTATCAACAACTCTGGAGTTTCCAGAGGGAGGGCACTGGCAGGGAGCCCTGGGGCAGCTCTTTTCACCAGTCACTATGGTTAGGCCGTTGGTGGCCGCGGGGATGGGTAGGGGTCCATTAGAGAACCCTGGGCAGGACGGCAAAATACTGGAGAAGGGAATAAATAAAAAGAATTTGTCAATCTGTTTTGGTCATTGCATTTGTGAGAGCAATGTTGCCCATTCTGACCCTGCCAAAAACACGAGGTGTGTGAACACCAACCCTCCGCCCTCCCACCAGGCGGCCTCTTGGACGGAACAGCTCGAGTCGAGTCTCGAACCAGAGAGCAGCACTTGACCATGCCCGGCTAGACTGGCGTGGTCCGTCTCCACGGCCGCCCGCCGCTATCGAACTCGCAAGCGGAGACTGGCCGGCCGACCGTTTTGCTCGACGCCCCGTCGCCCTCCACCGACTATCAGATCATAGGCTCCCGGGGTCCACCGGACTAACGCGGACGGGGGCTAGCGTCGTCCATGGTGAGGCGACCCCGTTCGCGCCGTGGTGGCGAGGGGGCCGACCGTTTGCACGACATGGACGCAACGCGGCAGCGAGGGGACAGGCCCAGTGCCGTGCGGCTGCCGTGATCCGAGGGTCTGTCTGGTGGGGAGGATGTATTCTGGGTGGGAGGTTCTTGGTGAGGGGGAATGAGGGGACGAGCGTGCGCGCTGAGCGATGGGACGTTGATGTCGCGGATTGGGGTCTTGGGGGTGGAGAGGGGGAGGATGGGTTCCATGGCGGCGTTGAGGTGGAAGGCTCGAAGGAAGGGTGGCGGTGGGGATGGCGGTGGAGATGGATCGTGGACCATGGGAGAGGTGTTCTTGGGAGGGGGATGAGGGGGGCTTGGCGGTTGGATAGGGGATGAGGGGGATACACGTATACTTTGGTTGGGGTTGAGGTTGGGGTTGATGGGGTGGTGGTGAACGAGAGCGAGGGGAAGGGCACGGCCGGGGATCAATGTCGTGGATGGATCAAGGGAGGGGTGGCGATGGAGGAGGATGATCTGATAACGGTTCGATGGATGTGGCATCGAGGATACATGTTACCACCTTATCTACCGCGTGAAGGCGTATCGTCCAGGCATGCACGATCGATCCCATCATCTGATATGCCTGAGTGCATCTCCAGCCGGTCTAGGATGTCCACGGTTTGACGCAGGAGGAAACGGCTCCGGGGTTGACCTGGTGAGATAATGCCGATGGATATCAGCCCATGCGTTCATGGCTCGTCATGTGCACACTGGATCTGATCTAAACATGCGAGATCCGGCACTTTTGAGTACGTCCATGTGCCGGCTGCAACCACGGCCCGAGACATGGAGCCACATTCGGGCACTGGCAGCCGAGATGTCGTCACGAGGTGATGGCGTTGCTGTTCTCCACTGGCATGACGTTTTCCAAGATGCGAGAAAGCCATAAGCCTTGCCATTGATCGAATGTTGTGTTGTGGTTACAGACGGAGGGTGGAGAGGTGGATGAGAGGTGATCGAACTTCCCGTCTTCTCCTCACACACTGTCTCAGGGTCTTGGGGTATGTTTCGGCGGCAGGCTCAATGTCCAATTGGCGTGTTGGCAGAGTGGTCTAATGCGTAAGACTTGAAATCTTATTCCTTCGGGAGCGCCTGTTCGAACCAGGCACACGTCGAATTTGTTTTGCTTTTTGCTGGGCCTGGTGTGTCCAAGGAGTGTGTTTTGCTGGGGTGGTGATGGTTTGCCTCCATGATGGGTGGTGTTGAGTTTGGTACCTCGAATGGTGAAAGCAAGGTCTTTCTTTGACTCCGCTCCATGCTGAGATGAATGCTTTCAATCACGTAAAGTGGGAAATGGCTTGTCCGAGTCGACGAGATTCGTCAAGTGTTGCTTTGTTCTTGTTTTTTTGTGTCCACGCCATGGCATTGTTCCAGTTTGTTTACTTGACCCCTTTTTGATCCGCCTTCGCCATTACTCGCCCGGATAAGGAAGCGACGAGAGTTCTTCAAGAAGCCTTACTAGGGCCCTAGGTTGACAGTCAGCCCAATCTGGCCTAAAGGTATGTTCAAGTCAAAGTTGTTTGAGATCCGTCCTATTCAGATCGGGGTTGACTTTTCGTCAACTGAAAGTTCGTCTCTGCATCTCTGATTTTGCATGTTGATTTGGAATGAACCCAGCCAAGCAATACCTGTACCACCCCGATATCAACATTGAACCCTTTCAACACCCCCAATTTGTCCCCCACGGTAGCCCTAAAAGTGGTGTCACCCACGATCAAAAGGTCAAATGCGGACAGGACCGCGGAGTCTTGCAGGCGGTGGTCGCCCCCGCAACCAATAACAAGAGGGCGACGTGGACTGCCCGCAGCACCAGAGCTGGGACACGGCATCGCGTTAGTGAGGGCCAGCAGGTGTGCTGGTGTGGGCTGCGGACCAGCTGGTTGGCTCCGCCTCGGCGATGGCCTCAGCCGCTGGCACGCCGTGACTCGTCAGTCGCCCAAGTCCCCGAAACATTGCACCTTTGGGGGCCCGACTCGGTCTTGGGCGTGCATGCCGTGGCGGCGTTGGTCTTTGGCGGGGTGGAACAAAAGGGACGGGCAGACGTCTGGGTCTCTCGGGACCTGTTCTGAGCTGTTTCTTCTTTTCCGCTTCTCGTCTTTTTTTGTTGATAGAGAGGATAATCGGACCAGAGTATGGCGGCCAACTTATATCAGAGAGCGCCTGTCGCCCCTTTCCCGACATTGTTTACGACGGCCTATCCCCCGGTTGTTAGACGACTTCGACGCCAAAACTCATTCACCAATGGAACCATAACCACATCACCACCAAAGGGGCCAGATTGCGCGGTATGAATCTCTTGAACTCAATCCCATGGGACGAACTGACACTCCTATCTTGGGCAGAACTTTAACGGATTCAAGACATGCAGCTCGACCGGGGCGTACGGGGGATGTGTGGCCACGGCAGCAGTCTCGGCATGTAACTGCAACAATGGCTTGGGGTATCTCGGCTGCTTATCATCGGCCATCTCAACCTCGAGCTGTTGGGGATCTGTAGGGATTGCGGGTATGTCTGGATTCTTTTCTTCTTCAGAAACAACATCTGACCTGGTATCAGACTGGGACAGCTATCAGAGAGACTGGTTCCAGGACGCCTGTCCGAAGCCACCAGCAAGCGTGATTCAAGAGCTACCCCAACCGCAAGTCGTGCCCGAGCGTATAGACAGAAGCTTCAACTGACACCAGACCCACGCAGAACAAAGGCACCACTGGAACTTGCGTAAGCCTTCAACCACTTTACATCTCCCCAGCGGAACCAAACTCACCATACCAGACCCATCGTCATCATCACACCCCCCAGCACCATCGCCACCCAAACCGAGCAACCCCCTCCCATCACCCAACCGACCTTCACCGGGGGCGGCCAGCTCCTGACCCAGGGCGACTGCGCCAGCACATCCTACACCCTCGTCAGCGCCGGCGACGTGGTCTACTACGCCGCCTTCATCGGCTGCATGGCCGACCGCCCCTCCTGCTGCCCCTGGAGCGTCGCCCTCGACAACCCCCTCGCGACGGCCGGCCCCGCAGCCGGAGGCATCAACGAAGGCAACCGCGTCGCCGGCGGCGCCGGCCGCCTCCCGATCCCCGCCAACGGCGTGCAGGCCCTCCTGGCCAAGTGTCCCGACGACTACTACTCCGTCTCCTCCCAGGGGATGTGCTGTCCGACGTAACCCCCCCTCCCCCTTCCCCCTATCTCTCCCAGCACTGACACCCCATGCCAGCGGTTACTACAAATTCACCACCGCCATCCAGGCCCAGACGCCCTGCTTCAGCAACCTCCGCGCCAAGGCCACCCCGCCGCCGCTGACGGCCGGCCTCGCCGCCGTCCCGACCGACACCCGGCTGCCGACCTCGGCCATCCTCAACGTCGCCTGGGCCATGGGCTACAACGTCAGCGACCCCGACGCGAGCAAGCCGCCGCTGTCCAAGCCGGCGGCGATCGGGGTGGGGGTCGGGGTCGGGGCGGTGGTGTTGCTGCTGATTGGGCTCACGGCGTGGGTGTGTGTGCGCGTGAGGAGGAGGAAGGCTGCCGCCGCTCCGGTCGTGGTTGGTCCGCCGACGGGAGGGGAGGGGTACACTGACTCTGCTCCTGTGGCTGGGGCGGGGGTGTATGGCAAGGGATACCCGTCGCCGCCGCCGCCGGTGAGCCCGGTGGCGTCGGGGAGTCCGGAGATGGCGAGTGTCGGGGCTGTTAGTCCGAGTGGGAGTCCCCCGCCGGGGGCAGGGACGTATGCGCCTGTCCCGGCGGGATATGGACACCAGCACAATTACAGCGATGCGGGTTCGGCGGGGGGGTGGACGACTGCTCCGGGACAGCAGGGAGGGCAGTATGCACCGCCGCTGCCGATGCAGTATCGGGATCGGTATGGGGGGCAGCAGCAGCAGATGCCGGCGGAGTTGCAGGAGCAGGATTATATGCAGCAGGGGTATGGGCAGCAGGAGTACCAGGGACCGCCGTCGCCGCCGCCGATGCAGGGAATGCAGCAGGAGTACCACCCGCCGTACTCGGAGCTGCCGCCGCAGGAATATCAGGGTCCGAGGTATGGGGGTGGTCAGCAGCAGGGGCCGTATGATGGGTGGAGGTGACGGTTGGGGGTCAGGTGTCGGAGTGGGGGGGCTTGTTTACAAGATGTCATGAATGTTGGAGGTTGGATATAAGAATGAAGACGTGTCTTGAGCCTGAACGCTATTTTGAAGAGGACCAAGAGAAGAAGAAACCCACCAACGCCTTGAGATGTGAGATAAAAGCGACACCATCATGCCGCCATGCTTTTTGACAGCAACACGATCCTTTCCATCCGCCCCAGGCAATGTCTCACGGAGCCACCTTGACGATAATCTTCCCCCTAGCATGCTTCGTCGCCAACTTCTCATACGCCTGTACCCAATGTTAGCACTGATCAACCAACCCCACCCCTCGAAAACTCACCTTAACCGCATCCTCCATCGCCCACTCGGAATCCACCACCACCTGCTTCACCACGCCCCCCTCCATCCACCCCTTCATCACCCCCGCCTGCTCCCCCGACGGCATCATCGCCAGCAAGTCATACCTCCTCGGCGTCCCCCCCAGCACCACCGGCCTCAACTTATTCCTCACAAACGGCACCACCCCCTGACTCCTGCCGCCCACAATACTCACAAACCTGCCCCCCTCCTTCAAGTACCCCACCGACCGCTCATACAACCTCTGCCCCCCCGCGCAATCCAACACAAAGTCAAACCTGCCCCCCTCCCCTTCCTCACCACCAAACCGCCCCTCCAACACCCCCTCCACCCCGCCCTCCCCCGCCTTGGTATAATCCACCACCTCATCCGCCCCCAACCCCCTCACCACGCCCTCATTCCCCCCACTACAAACCCCCACCACCCACCCCGCCCCCAACCCCTTCAGCGCCTGCACCAACAACCCCCCAACCCCACCACTCGCCCCATTCACCAGCACCCTCGCCCCCTTCACCCTCTCCTCCCCAATCGTCCTAACAAACAACACCGCCGTCTGCCCCGCCACGCCCATCCCCCCCGCCGCCTGCCCCGCGTCCCACCCCCCCGGGACCTTGGCCACCAGCCCCACCGGCACGGACAAGTACTCCGCCAGACTCCCCGTCCCAAACGCGACCTGCCGCGTCCCGAGCGCGCCGGCGACGGTGTCGCCGACCTTGACCCCCGACACGGCGGGCCCCGTGGCGAGCACGACGCCGGCAAAGTCGAAGCCGGGGGTGGGGCGGCGGCGGAAGGGCAGCCAGGCGGGGAGGTTGAGGAGGAGGTGGAGGTCGATGGGGTTGAGGGCGGCGTGGGTGGTGCGGAGGAGGAGGGAGGAGCCGGTGGGGGGGCAGGGCGGGGTGGGGGCTGTGGTGGTGAGGGTGAGGGTGGCGGCGGAGGGGGGGCCGGAGGTGAGTTGGATGTAGGATTTCATTGTTGGGGGGAGGAGGGGAGGGCCGGCGGGCGTGGTGGGGGGTGGTTGTGTCGTCGTCATTGGTGTCGTCATTGGTGTTGTCGTTGATGTTGTTGTGAATGTGATTGTTTTGGTGTCGATTTGGTTGGATGCGACGAGAATATTTGTAACTTGACTGAGAATATTTGCCGGGATTTTGTCGTGGGATTTGCTGGCTTATGGATTTATATTCTTTGGGGGGGATTGGAACAGGTCATGTTTCGGGGGGATATCCCTTGGGTCCGTGTGGTGAGACCTCGGTGCCGGGGGTGAAACGACAGTGGGATGACGCGGGCGATCAGGTAGCCGCCGGGCGAACCCAGAACCGCGCTGCACCTCAAGACGACAGTAAATAAATAAATCACCTGACATTATCACACGGAGAGCCATATTGTTGGAATGGGTTGGAATTAGTTGGCATTTCACCAAAATTCAAGGCCTCAGCCGGTCCAACTTCAATGCCGGTCGTAAAAACACCGTCATCACTTCTCTGTGTGGCAGCACTCGCTGGTACCTATCTGCATACGCTGGAGAGAACCACAACACATGGTGCTTCATCAAACTGACCAGTGACCACCGTCAGGGCTTCTCTGTCGTCTTCATCGAGGGCCGGATCGACCCCCTCAGACCTGCTCGGAAGAACACGAGACCCGAGGTTACGCTGGAAGCAAACGCTCTGTCA